CTCTCCGGAAACCCTTCGAAAACGCGAAAAAAGGACTGGTTTTTCGGGGCTTTCCACGTCCCCCTGGTCTGGGCGCCTTCCGGGGCCCAGGCTCAAGGATTGGGTGCTTTTGATACAACAAAAGGAAGGGCCGCAACTGCGAATTAGGGACCGAAATCTCGGATAGCTGCGCTAGTCCGTCGTTTAGGTATATTCGAGCCGTTTTCGCGGCTCCCCACCGTCCTTGGACTAGAAGGCGGTCGAAGCTTCCGTGGCGCTGGAAGAAAAAAGTCGCCCCTCCCCTCCGAAGGGAGTAGGGTCGGTAAGCAAACTCTTGGAGCTTGAGGCCTTCGATGGCGCGGTTAAAAAGATTGCGCCAGGCATGAGGTTTGCTTGCCAGGAATTCATGTGGTTTTGCTTGGCATTTCCAACGGTAGAGGCTTGGAATCACAGAAGAGTCATGAATAGTAATGCTTTCCGCAGCCCCCTGGCGGGCACCTGACTTGGTCAAGCCCAGGGAAATGACCGCCGGTCCTTTCGGCGTATTCAGGTAGATATCTTTGGCACGTAAACTTAAAAGTTCGCCTGTGCGCAGAAGACCAAAAAAGGCAACACGCAGGGACAAGCCAAACTCCGGGCAGTCTTGCATCACGCTCCATCCACACAAGGCATTCAGCAGAGACAACGTGAAAGGGGGTGCCCTGTTCGGAATTTCGGCAGAGTTCCAAGCTTTCATCAGCCTCCAACTGCCGGGCAACTTCTTCTTTAGGCTGGGCTCATAGTCCTGAAGGGCAGCAAGCGCATTGTTTGCCACCGACTTTCCTTCTCCTGAGGCCCAGAGGAACTCGAGGTAGTCTGAGACAACGTTATCCATCTGGGAGGCCTGGGTGGGAAGCCGAAGCCCCTCCCTTGTCAACCAATCAAGGAACTGTCGCAAAGCGTGGTCATATCGATGTCGGGTACGTGGCTGTACTGTGAGGTCTTTTAACTTTCCTAAACTCTTGCGCACTTTTTGTCGTTGTTGTTTGCTGCGGCCTTCAACTATCTTCTTCGTGCTTTTAGCCATCCCTTCCGTACCGGCCGGCGGGACGGTCGGTCCGCCGGGTTCTGCTTTGTATCAATGTAGCCCCAGGCTACATGGAGCCCGCTAGCCAACAACAACGCACTAATTTTGGCAAGAGTCCTTCGAAGTTTCCGACTACTCGACCTACCACGCGACAACGCATGCAACACGACCAACGAGTCGACGAGATGTAAGCACTTGCTCCCATGCTCCTGAAGTTCCTTGATCCGCCACACTATTGAGGTCTTGACTGCGCGGAGCTCCAGGGCGTTGATGTGCTCCTTCTCACCTGTCCAGCTCCAGCCAACAACATCACGCCACCGCCAAAGCTTGCCGGGGATGGACGCCCTTAGGCGATGATATCGAGCGGGAATGTCTGTGGATAATTGCAACAGGATGTCTTCACCTTTGACTGACACCTGTCCCAGGAGCTTCCGCACCAGCCCATGGGCCTCTTGTCCGGGGGCAGTAGTGTGCCGCAGGGGCGGACGCATCAACAAACCAGCCATGTTAGGGCATTTTCCGGGAGTCAAGTTGTCAACGATCTCCTGAACGCTCTTCTCCTCATTGAGGCCCAAAGTGGCAAACAGGCAATGCAAAAGGCACGCTACGACAGGGACCGACCAACTGTTCCCTAACAAGGTCAACCGACAATCATTCCCCCGGGTGGTCCCGGCTTCAGCCTTGGGAAGACATTTGGCCGTGTACTGGACAGGGAAACCCAGAATCGCCTCTCGTTCAACTATGGAGGGAACACGCACCACGCCTTGGGAGTTGACCACGGAGTTCTCCCATCGGTATTGGTATGGCGGAAACCGATGTTGGTCGGCACGCCATCGTGCTACTGCCTCAGGAGGACACAACGCTAGCCCCGCGGGTTTCCGTCCCGGCTTAGTGGCCGGCCGTGAGGTGGTGAAGGTAGGAAACCCCCCTTTAGCTGTAGTTTTCCAGCCTGGCTCCAGGAAGTCACGCTCATCAACCACCGCTTCAAGCCGCAAAGTTCCCGCCAAAGGCAACCGATGAGGATCTTCACGACAGATGCTGGCTCCTTTGAGAGCCCTGGGCTCCCAGTTGAACCAGTACAACCGGGGACGCCGACACAGTGACAACCCGGAGGAGTCTACAAGCCACGGGGTCAAGTCATAGGCCTGGGACATCACCTTGCAATCCTCGGCATCCATGGAGGCTACATTCTCAATGAGAGTGAACACTGGACACCATGTGAAGAACCTTTTCAGAAGGCTCTCAATCCGTGGGACATGAGCGAATAGGCAGGATTGCACATCACGCAATGCACCCCTTCGATCGGAGTTTAGCCCTGACACTCCCTGACATGGGGGTCCAGCGCCGAGGAGGACCGCACACACACTGGGGAATCTCAGACACCAACTACTGACCTCGTGCTCATCAATGCTCTGTACGTCCTCAAGGGCCACAACCTCAGGGAACCAACTTTCCACTACTCGTCGGGCTTCTGGGCAAATTTCCGCAGCAACATAACCAGCAACCGGCACCTGAGGCGAGTCAACGGCGATTCGAAGAGCTCCAATCCCATCGAAAAGGGATACAACCAAGATGGCGCCCACCTCATCCTGGGAGATCACATCTCCCCTACAACTTGCCATGCTTGCTGCTACCCCATAGGGACTGACACTTCGCGACACACACAAGCCTCCCCCTGTAGTGGAGGCATCGCTCGCGGTCACCTTCTCCGAGACCGGGGTGCGAAAGTCCATGTACGCCAAGGGAGTCAAAGCAACAAAGCGCAAGATCTCATGCTCTACCTCCGGCCCCAGGCTCGCCCGTTGAGTGGGCTTTAGCCCCTCCAACTCAACCACACGCTTCCAAATGGCATTCAGCCCCGACAGAAGAGGGCGCCTAAACATAGCAATGTACACGAAGCCTCCTCCAATCACCTGGAGCTCTCTTTGGGAAGCCTTTCCTTGGACCACGGCCTCACAAGCCAGCCTCACATACCTCATCACCTTTTCGGGCTTCGGGCTGGCTCTCCCTAGTTCACCATCGACCCAAGCTCCCTGTACCTCTGCCTTGACTGCCTGTGTCACTGCCTTCTTGGGGTGCCGTGGAAGCCCAAGCGTCTCATAAGTTTGCCTGACTGCCAACGTCCATGCTGAGGGGGTGCCTGAAAGTATTCCGGCCAGAGTCCTATCCACCTTTTTTAGCTCATCGTAGTTGTCAAGATAGACCCTGAAGAGGTGTGGCGCACAGCTGGGTGGCCGATCTCGCCTAATCTCCTGGTGTCCGGACGCCAACCTTGCATCGCCTTTCAAAGCCTGGTTGATCACCCTCCTGTGTACGTGTTGAGCTATAGCAACAGAGTTTATGAACCCCATGGGCAACACCTGCGTCACCAAATGCCACCCTGTTCCTTCATAGCCCTTTGGGAGAGCCTCTGAGGGGACCTCCCGTCCAAACCCCATGTATTTCCACCAGCTGGCTGGAGTCCGGAAAAGGTAAAAGAAGCAACGTATGTCTTCCGAAGAGGTCACCAACAACTGATTGTCATCAAGTACAACAGAGCTCATTCCTACCACGCTTGGTAGCGTAGAGGTGTCCCCCACTAGGCTTCGGCAGCACCCGTTGGTAGGTACTAGGTTCATGATTAATCTACACACTTCAAACTCATTTCCCAGCGAGTCAACGGCCTGCTCCTGCTTGCTAACAGCAAACAGTCCATTCAGTAAGGGACGGTCACCAACATGGTGCAGCTCACTAACATGCATGAGTCGACACACACACCCCTCCTCAACAATCCCGTGCACACTTCGGCCAGTGGCTGGCCTCGACCATAATGCTTGGCGTCTTTCCCAAGTGCTGATCCTGGGGCGGCAAAAGGAAATCTTCGAAATGCTGGACATAAGCCAACGTTCCCCCCTCGCAGAATTCCTCGAGACAAAGACTGCCTACCGCCTCCGGAAATGCGGCCTCAATCATCCTCCAATCGAAGCGACGAGCGACTTGAACGATCTCTCCGGAGTAGTCTACTGAGCGGCTTTTGAAGAAGTCCCCAAATCCAATATCAGGCACCTCGCAACCTCCTAGCTCTGCCTCATCAACCACCTTCTTCAACCTTTCAACCAATCTCAATCTAGTGCTATCCTCTCTGTTCCTCTTGATAGTCCTGGTCCCGTACAATGAATTCAACGCTTGCACCAATGCATCTGCACAAAACAATGGGGAACCCAAGGTCTCCAGAGTTGAAGGTAGGGGCAAGGGGAACAAGTCCCCCTTGGTCTCGCTGCAACGCGCATACGTTTGCTCCTGAACCTTCAACGCCTCTAGAAGCACCTCCCCAAGCTCCTCAAAACGCAACTCCTTTTTTTGACATGTTGTGGCAAGGTAGTGACGACACTTCTCAAATGCTTGCCGCCTGCTTGCTTCCAACAACGTCCGTCTCAACCCGCTCACCGGCGGGGAGGTATCAGCCATAGGAGCAGCTCCTCCTTCAACACGCCCAGACATCTCTCCACAACGTCCAGAGTGCTGGGAGTCCTGCTCCCTTAGAACTTCAACTGCAGACCCACCAATGTCATCAGCACGCCCTCTCAATGCCTCACGACACTGGGAGTCCACACTCCCTTCAAAATCTCCTCTTCCCAACTTGTCACGCTCAGCCCTCATTTGATAGCCCATCCTCGCACTCTCATCCAACAGCCTCTCTATCGCACCATCCTCACTTGCGCCCAATGTATCAACCAATGCACCTTCTCTCAATGCTGCCTCCTCTCCAGACCTGTTTGCACTCTCATTTGGATCGTCTCTCAACCCTCCTTTGGAGTCCCTCTTTCGGCTCTTGCTACTCATTTTTTCTCTTGCCCTTTCCCTTCTCTCTCTTGCCTTTTTCGCCCTTTCCTTTCTCTCCTCCGGAGGGATAACGATCCTTTCCTTTCCCAGCTCCTTCTCCCTTCTCGCGGCCGCCTGATCCACTGCCTGACCCATATGGTCTTTGAGAAGCCAATCGATCTCGAAGTTCTTCTCTTGCCAGCTTTGCTGCCTCCTGCCCTTCCGGGCCTTTGCTTAAACCTGCCGAGTCAGCACTGACAAGTTCTAACTGTCTTGCAACCGTCCAGTGTCCGCCTCGAATCTGCTGATCGAGAGCCTTAACTCTCTGGGCCAACAGGTCCAAAGCCCGAGCCGGGTGACCACGAAGAAGCAGATCGGCCCCCTGCGACAACGTGAGAAGCTCCTGGCTCATCGATGGCGAACAAAGCGGCTGCATCTCCTGCCTAAAATATTGCGAGAAAATCGGTGGTAGGCTCTTCCGATCCTGTGAATACAGGCTACCAGACTGGGTGAGCAGGGAATCTTTCATGTTGGCCACTGTTTGCGCTGCCAAACTCCCCGGATATCGCTGCGTCAACCGAAGGGCTCGCTTGCGCTCCTCAAAGAGCCCCTCTCCAAACTCCTCAGCCTCCGACTCGCTTGAAGAGCTCGAACTATCGGTGCCCTCGCTCGAAGAATGCTTTCTCTTCCTGGATCCCTTTGCACCAAAGCGTCTCGCCTTCTTCAAGAGCCTACTGCGGGCCTCGGCGATGGGGTCCAGGCAAGTCCCTTCATACAATGCCGACAGCGACTTCTGCCCTCGCTCAAGCAGTGCAACGTCTTCATCCTCCTTGGCTTCTCGCTTCCGAGATCGTTCCTTCTTTTCCTTGTGCTTCTTTCTCTTCTTCTTGTCCCTGGCCTTCTCTCCACCGGCCTCACTGGGAGAACCCTTCTCCCCTACAACTTTCTCACGCCTCTCCTCATGCAGCGCCCTCAAACGCGACAGCTCATCATGCTCCTCTGGCTTCAACGACTTCTCCTCCAGCAATGTATGCCATGGCAACTTGTCGTCTCCAACAATCCAATAGCCTGATGCATGAAGGATGTCTTCACCTGTTGGCTGCCACGAGCAATCTTTCTGGCAGATGTGGAGCTGCATAGTACGCTTGGCCGGATCTCCAAACATGTCCAAGAGTCCTTCCGTCTGTGTACCTGACACACGAAACTCCAGGAAATCTTCGTCTTGTCCCAGGCCAACGATGCGCCCTGCGACCTTCACATGCCCCTCATAGTATCTGGCGTCTCCTAGCTCGATCAGGCCCAGGCACCGGAGCTGTGCTGCAGCCAACTCCCGCAAGTAATGGAACTCACTCACGGGCAGGTCGTCGGTCTTTGCGGCAGGCTTTCTTCGGATGGCCGGAGATCTGGTCGCCGGCCTGGCCCTCACCTTCGGCGCCATTGCCGATCGTGGAGTTCCTGCTTGGCGCGGCGAGTGATCCCTTTATTTTTTCCCACGTACCACCTTGGGTGGTTGGACCAGGGGATTGCTCCAACCCACCCCCTCTGCTGGGCCGGCGGTGGCAATGGAGGCGGTGCTGGAGGAGGGGGTGGTCCCGGTGGTGTGTGGGGACTTCTGGGCCGAGGAGGGGTTGCCGGTCTGGTCTTCCTCTCCTTCTTCTTGTTCTCCCTCACTCTTGAACCGGACACTGATGAAGAGCGGCTCGAAGTCCTTCTCCTCCTCCGACGCCTCTCCTTCTCTCCCTCCCGGCTTCTTCCTCGCCTTCTTGACCTCTTCCTTTCGGAGCGACTGGGAGTCTTACTGCCTGACTCCCTTCTCTTGGCCTGCTTTGCCGCTTCCTTTTTCTCCGGGTCGGCTGCACTGGCCTCTCCTGTCTGCTCGGCTGGTGGCTTGCTAGACGGAGATGGCTTGACCTTTGGGGCCAGGTTCACCGCTTGGGGATCACTGCGCACGGCCTCCTCCTGCTCTCTCTTGCTGGGTCTTGGTGCTCTTGTCTGGGAGTTCTCAACCAGTGCAACACTCCCGTGGGTTGGCCCTGGTACTGGAACGGGGGGTGCCCTGGGCGGAGGTAGCACCCTGCTGGACACTGATGGGCGGCTGGCTGAGGAACGGGCAGGCTCAGGTGCTGGATCTGGGGCTGACTGGGCTGTCTTTGATGCGGATGCGGGGCTGGCTGGATGGTCTGAGTCTTTCCTTTTCTTTGGGCTATCGGTGGGCTGTCTCTTCAGGGGCTTGTCCTCACTTCGTCTCCTCTTTTTCTCTTTGGATCTTCCTCGGGGTTTCTTGTCTTCTTTCTTCTCGAGGTTCTTGACTTCCCCGATCCAATCCTCCAGAAGGCCGAAGCAGCCTTCCAGGTACACAACCGCTGCCTCGTCGTTCTCCGGGCTAACGACCGACCTCAAGGAAACGAGTAGCTGGTACCCTTTCCTGCAAGGACCGCAAGTCGAAAGGTCGGGTTCGCGAACCACGAAGTGGCGACAGCGGTCGCAAACTGGGAGGGGGGCGTCCCCCCCTCCCATCCAAATTCCCTTCTTAAGCCCCAATGCTACGGTGAAAAACGTGACCCGCTCTGTGATTAATCATGGGGACAAAAGATCATACATGAGTGGCTCAAGCTGCTTGGCTCGAGAAGAGCTGCCCGCGCCGGACGTTGGGCACCACGCGAGAAGGAGCACATCGTTCTCAAGCCCAAGAAGGGAAACTTCACCTTCCTGCTGCACTTTGAGATCATGGCAAGGGCCACTTGGACCAGGACCTATCAGTGAGGGTCGGAGTGCAACAATTGGATCTGGGAGGGCAAGATAGCTGACAGCTATGTCTGCTGCAAATGCGGCTTGGGATGGAACAAACCCATTCAGGGCTATCAGGACAGGTCCACATCCAAGCCTTGAGGGAGATACGCTCCACGCCAGAAGCCGATTTCTCCCTAGTGCTCGATCCTCCAAGCTCACCCAGGTCCACAAAGCTACTACCGACTTGCTCATGACCTCCTGGAGCACCTTGGACACAAAGTTGCAGCAGCAGCTTGAGCAGTTGGGCATCAAGCCCTCTCCACCCACTGTGGAACCCGATGACTTGACCAATGTCCTCAAGGAGAACATGGCTCAGCTGCCCACGGCGGTGCGCTCGACACCGCCAAGAAGACCTATGGGGGCATGTTGGAGGAGATGAAAGGCATCCAAGCCAAACTCGAGGCTGAACAAGGTGCCTTGAACTCAACAAGTGCGGCTTACATGGCCATGGTCAACACCTGTAAGCCAGCAGCTGACCTTCACGAGCAAGTGGTGCGATTGGAGCACAAGGCAGGGATCGTTGACTCCGTACCTCGACCACAAGGGCGACCCTATCCAGAACGAGAACAAGATCCTTGGCTACCTGGGCTACTTGGGCTGGTTGGGAACGTCAGCGGCTACGATGAAGCAGGCCGTGTTTGCCATCAAAGATGCGCATAAGAGGGCAGGGCACGGAGACACCACCACGAAGATGCACCGGCTATGGATTGTCCTTAACTCGCTGGAGAAGCACTCCGTCAAGCGCCCGAGGAGACTGGGAGTCACTGTGCAGATGCTCAAGTGGCTCGGCAAGCAACTTGTTGCTGGGGCGGAGTCCATCGGCGAGCTGAAGATTGACTGCCGTATGATCCAAGCGGCGCTCCTCACAGCTTGGTTCTTCATGCTCCGAGCCCGGGAGTTCGCTGACTCAAGTGGGGTCGACCAGGAGATGGTGGTCAGGGGCCAGGACATTTCTCTGACGACCCAAGGGCAAGCAGATGAGACGAGCCCGGAAGAGGTCACCCTGCAGTTCCGAACGACCAAGGCGGACCAGGAAGCCTTCGGCACGTGTAAGACCATGAAGAAGACGGAGATTGAGTATGTCTGCGTGCTCTGCACCGGCTTCGTGAAGTGGCTCCCCGGCGATTTGGGAAGGGGCCTGAAAGTCATCTTCCTCTGTTCCGCTGGGCTTCAGGGCCAGTGATCAAGCGGCTCGAGATCCAGAACTTGTTGCAGAAGGCCGCCAGAGCGCTGGGCCTGCCTGCTGAAAGGTTCCAGTCGCATGGATTGGAGGCGCCTCGGCTTTGTACCAAGCCACGGGCGAGATCGAAGTCGTCAAGCGAACCGGAAGGTGGACGTCTTCGGCAGTGCAGCGCTACCTCCATGACTCCGGAGACGTGCTGGCAGGCTTGGCAAAAAAGATGGCCACGGTTGACCAGCACGTGCACTACACGTAGTGGAGCGCTACGCCCTTGAAGCGGAGGCAGTGAAGCGGGGTGGTGGCTTGAAGCCATAGGTGACAAAATGTCACGGGCAGAAGCA